CATAAATTTATTATTGAGTTTTTCTTCTCCTGGAAGATCCACTTTTCTGCCCAAGCACTCAACAAGACACTGACACTAGCACAAACAGGACAGAGCAGATCATCACCTGACGCAGACTGTTACTGGTCCATGTAAACCAGTATCATTATCCCAGCTGAGCCCCAGGAGTTTGTGTGATAGAAATCACTTTCTCAGCACAAAAGTTACAGTCAAACAGGAAGGACTTCAAAAAGCTAACTTTTTTATTTTCACAGTTAAATTTATTTATACCCATTTATTATATATATTTTTAATATATGTAATAAGCAATATATAAATAAAAGACTTCTGTGATAAATAATCTGTTCTGCCATATTCTGCATTCAACAAAGCAGTCCTCAGAATGTAAACAACACTATAAAAAGAGGCTTTAATACATTTTATTCCAAGACCCGGGGATAAAGCAGACAAATAGTTGCAAATGGATTTACTTTAGCAATATTTTTCCGTAAAAAATGTAAAAATCTTGTACATCATCAGCTGACCCGCATAAAGACACATCATGTTCATTGCAATACTAGTGCAATGAATTTTTTTCTCACAAATTTACTAGACTTTTCTTTCCCTTCCTGTTTCCACATTTAAAATTATTCAGGGCATTCAAACAATTGGTACACAATTCATTTGGAGTCTTGATGCCAAAAAGTAACAGCTTCTCAGTGCTTCTTTGAAAATCATAGCTTTTCCTCTATTTTGAAAATTAAACGTCTTCCGAAAGACAGCAACTTAAAAAAAATCTCATTAGTTGTGACAGGAAATCTTGGCTTGCACATTCTTCTTGTGCTGTAAAGCCAGTGGCGTTTTCATTTGAAGGCAAATGGTCTCAATTAAGATGAAAGGGAATTCTGAACGATTTCTACATAATCCATTCATGGGAAATGCCTTGTCTGGAGTAAGTGCACTAAGAAAAGCACAAAAACGGAGTAAGTGCTGGACCCTTCCTGCGAGGAGGACGACAGAAATGCTTCTCGGATGCAATGCAGGAGGAACATGCCCTGGTGGGATCAGGCACCGGGCAATAGTGCAGCTGAGTAGAAATCTGCAAGAAAAAGCTTTTATACCTTGGGGTATGAGCAGAGCCTAAGGTAAAGAAAATGCCTTTGGAAGCCCAGAATATGCACCGAAGCTTTGCCACTTCATGAAACTACAGCGCTACTGTGAAAGACAAATATTCTCTGGGGCCTGAACAGTGAGATCCTGGCAGTTTACCAGACCAGGGAATTTTATGATCTGGAGGAAAGACCTACCTCCGGCCCAACATGTCTGCCTGCTGGCTTGATCTCCATCACACTTTCCTGTTTCTTTGCCGTATGTCTCTCATATTTCCCTCTTCGTGGAGCAGAGGTGTGTCTGGAATTTATTTCTACTCTTTATGTCAACAGCCTTTTTTCAGGTAACTTGTTCCATATGCTGGTTATCCTTTATGTGAAGCAGTCAGCCTGGAGCCTTGTCTTTACTCCTTGCACCTACTGGTTTAGATTATGCTTTCAGCTTTTGTGTGTCGCCTATCTGTGTCTTTTCCAGATCTTGGGCAATTTCTTCCATTTAATGTACCCACTTTTAACTTAATTGCTTGTTATCAGATTAAGCTAAAGCCAACTGGCTAAGAGACCCACACAAAAAAGAAAAAAAAAACAAACACAAACAAAACCCACTCTATCTTGATGCAAGTTCCGCTGAAAATCCAAAAATTGTAACAATTGACACCTCTGATTTCCTCCTTTCAGCAATGTTTCAAAGTTTAACCATCTTGTTCCTAGTTTGCATGTGTCCAGATATGCCTACAAGTAATAATCTTGATGCAACCAAACTCATTAGTTTATTATGGCCATAATGGGCAGATTCTAGAAACATTTTAAAAAAAAATCTCTTCTGACCTTGAGTAAATAGGGTTTGTTTTGGTCAGTCTTCTGCCTTGCTCTGAAAATGCAAAGCCACCTCAGCCCTCAGAAGAACACTCTACAAAGGCCATGGGCGGTGACTTCCAAAAGAGGGTGAGTGATTTTGCTTTTCCAGATAGCTCCCAAACACTTCCCTCAAGAGCAGTCGCACACTGGGTGAAGGCTTTTCTATCTCTCTTTTGCTTTCCCTGGTGAAAACAGAAAACAAACAAAACAGCCCCCCTTCCCCTCCAAAAAAATTTAAATACACTCAAATCAGAATAATAGTGTCTACATGAGATAGTCTGGAAATGTTACGATAACAGAGAGGGACTAATCCTCAGTCACCTCTACCACAGTAAACACGCAGGGATTCCTCTCCTTTTCCTGTTTTCTTCTTATCTCCTCCACACTGGAATGTTTTTAGGTATACAAACTGAATTAATTTAGCTGCTTATGGAAATGCTCCCTTTGTGAGAAGGGAGGCCAGCGTGCACTGCTCGTAAACCAGCACACAGTGTCGAGAGCACCGCCTGGCACCTGGCATGCAGCCCTCTCTCTCCATGTTAGAGCTAAAGGGGTTTATTAACATGCCAATAAAATGACCTTCCTGAATACCATGCTTGTTTAGCTTCTAGTCCTGACTACACACCTGGCCTAACATCTTGAGTGTGCAGCACTTAGCCTTGTTGACCCAAATTCGCACACCTGGCCTAACATCTTGAGTCAGCACTTAGCCTTGTTGACCCAAATTCTTTAATCTGAAAAAGCGGCAGCCTTGTTTGCTCCTCAAATCCTTCTGTGCTCCCCACAGCACAACTAAAAGGACCTTTCGCCACTTGAGGGCCAGCCTTGCAGAAGCTTTAAGCCCTCCATTCCAGGTACATGCACCATCTATATGGAGGAGAAGAGTCTTCAAACGCCACACCTGTAGCAAGCATGCAAGGCAGCAAAGGGAACGCAGGCAAGGCTTCCTCTGATCCAGCTTTGGCATCGTCTGTGCTGCCAGCACTTGCTCCCGAGGCATCAGCCATGCCTGCCTCTATCTCCTACCTAAATAAACAGGCCTTTTAGAGCAGTTTGTTTCCTGGGGTGCTAGAAGTGCCCATAATTGTTCACTGGCTTAAGTGAGGACACAGGTGGCCCAGGTGCGAATGTTGCTGTCATGCAAGTCTTGAGAAGTGAGGTGAGGTGACCGCCACCAACAGACCTCCCTGGTACGGGTGGGAAAGCCCAGCTAGGCTATTAGCCCTTTTACACAACTGAGCCATCCTGGGAAAAAATAAACAGTTACGAGACACTGCTCTGATTTTGGAAAACCAACGAAGGTTTTGAAAGCAAAGTAGCCTAAACCTTAATCTCTGGCTGATTCCTCTGGAAAAGCTTTTAAGTAGTATATAAAATGACGCTTTTGAGCAGCCTGGCGCCCTTCGTTAACGCACTCGTTCATCTTCTCCATTTTGCCCCGCATCTGCCCCGCGGCCTCGTCAGGGCTGCCCTCTGCCGCTGGGCAGGCACGCGGGGAACAGCCACGCTTGGCAAAACCCCTGGTACCTCCCGTGCCACCTCCGTCCCCGGGACAACAGCATCCTACCTGGCACTGCTGCAGGCATCACACAATTCACACCTACAGCGTAAATATGCCTGTACTTTGCACAAAGTGCTTCTCACCTGAAGCTGCTAATTCAACATATTCATATTATAATAACCATAACAGTTAAGAAAGAATCCTTCCAGCCCTGCAGTCTGTGAGCTACCTATGATATACCTTCCACTACACACAACAAGGAAGAAAGAAATCCAGCACAGAGCAATGATACACAGCAGAAGGCATTAGCCCGTGCTGCCCTCCTCACACTCCTCGAGTCTCCAAACTGTCTTGGGAGGAACCATAACATCCACTTAAAAACCATGGGGTGATCTTTTACTTCAGGGCAGTACTTCACAGGCCTCTGGATGTGTATAATCCCAGGCAGCCAACACACACAGATTCCAGTAATGGATATACTGTGTACAGTAACAAGAGTCATTGGCCAACTGCTGTAAACGATGCATACGATTTCATGTTCCCAGACTAAGCCAGGTAAGAAATTTCAGGTCAATTATTTGCTCTGATACTCGCACCCAATTAATCATCATACTCTAACTCATGGAAAACAGAGTCCTGGGAGTGTGTCATGAAGCCTTCACTAATCACCTAAGTAGACAACTTCTCAAGGATACTAGAAGAAAATGCATGTGCAAATCAATAAGATTGTGTCTGCAGCACTGAAAGGCCCTTTTCCCAGAACAATCTAATCTTTGTTCTTGTGCAATGACGTAAGCTTTAAGAATCCACTGAATACAATTATCTACAAACGCCTTTGTTTATAGTCCACTGACGACTGTTCATGGCCCCTTTTTTTATTTTTTAATTCACGAAGAGGCTTTTTTCCCTTTTCAATTGATAAACTCCAGTCTCCCAGAGTGATTGCAGAACAAAAAGGACACCCTGTAATGAATAACTGGCAAAAAAAAGGCAAAACAAAACAAAAGAACATGCCAAAAATAAGATGTAGAATCTCTTACTAGTCGTTTTGTAAAGAACACCAGTTGGCCATTATATCAAAACAAACTTTGAGCTGTCAGAATGACAAGCGATTTTTATCAGACGGAGCCTAGTAGTTTTCTATGCTTAATGTATAAGATTTTAGCTTTAACTGCAGGTCATTTATTTGTTGCCCGGCATGTTATTTTAACCCAGTTACCTTATTTTTAATTCTTGGGAGAGTTTAGGTTTCTGAAGCACCTAAATAAAAAGTGTAATTCTCTACAGATCAGTACACAAAGAATGCAGTGATCACACAAGCAGTATCTGTATCATGTTTACTCACCTGCATGAGCTCATTGCTGTCAATCAGACTGTCTTCTAGCATCTCCTGGGTCAGCTTGCCCATGGCGCTGTAAAACTCATCTGCAGTTTCACAACACTCGATCTGCCTACATCAAAATATACATTGGACTTTTGTTTTATTCTTACATATTATTACACACTTCCAAACTCAAACTGAATTTTCTGCAGTCATAAAATACACACTTCCATTGGTCAGTTTAAGCTCACTGCAATCCTCCCCACACCTTCAAATAACAAAATCATGCACCTCTCATTGGAAATACTGGTGCAGTGAAAGAATGGACTGAGTCCAATTTTCTGGCCTGACTGCCCATGACAAAGGATCCGTGCATGTAAGGACAGGCTCTTCGTTGGGCTCCTTTCAGTTCTACAGCTTGGAAACTGATAAATGCTGCCTCCTGCTAACACCAGGGAAAGCTGAATGCACTGGCTGAGCTGCCTGTTGGCCAAACAGGAAAACGTTGTTTGTCCGGGAAACATTCCAGTGGAGAAAGTTAATGTGTGTGTGTGTGTGTGTGCATATATATATGTATATACACATATATATAAAATTGTGTGTATATATACACACACACAATACACAGTATACATATACACTATATATATTATATATATATATATAACTGTAATTGTGCTCATGCAGTGCAGAAAACTGCCATATGCTGCATGCCTATGAACACTACTTCCAATTTGTCTCCAATTCTTTACTTTTCTTTAAGTTTCTGAAAACATAAAATCAAACACAAAGTGTCACCTAAAGTAAGAGAAGAATGACTAAGATGCCTTTTTGAGCAGCTGTTGGATGTACCTTAGGTCCGTCAATAACATCCTCTCCCATGAAGGGAAAAATTTAGTTTTACTTCTAAGCCAATTAAGTGTGATGCTGGCCAGAGCAGAAATCCATCCCCTCAGAAATACTGGGAATGAATTTGAACTTTACAAACTTGTGTCATCGCGTAGGATTTGGTGCAGTTAAGTGCCTCTTGTCAAATTAATATTGTAATATCTCACAAAGCCATGCAAAAAATAATACTATTCTTTCACACATATACGCCTACGTATTGGTCAGCTTAGCTACATATGTTACAAGCTACTCTGCAATAGCTTGATTAAAGGATGCACTGGCCTGATCCAATTAGAAAAGCTTTGAACTTTCAAGGCCCTTCTCCAGACCTCTCCGAATAAGAATTAATCTTATTCCCACCAGTTTTGCTGAGAACCCTTGTCTGACCTTCAAAGAAAATATAATTTATAGCTGGAGACGAGGAAACAAAGAAGAGTGGTTACTGATTAGCTAAAATTAATCAGTTCTTTGCACTTACAACAACTTCCACTCAAAGATACCAATAACATTTGCAAATATTAATTTATCTTTAGAGCATCTTCAAGAGGAAAATAAATATTATCATCCTCATCCTGTGGTTTAGAAGTTTACAGCTTTAAAAAGAAACATAACTTTATTTTTTTTTCCCAATTTATTGCCAAGTAATCCATACTCTCTTAATGTGGCTTGGGTGTCTTAGAACTATACACAAGTTATTTTTTTCTTTCCTAAAAAATATCCTTAAAGAAAAGGAGCATACATTCCTTGGCAGGAAATCTATCTCTGATAGCACTAGAAAGATCTACTAGGAAGGATCTTCAGTTGGAAAAAAAAATCATAGTTCAAGAATCACTCTGTTCTAAATCACTGTTTTGAGTAAAATTTATGGAACGATCTATTATTCATCTAAGCTTTATCTCAAGCATTTAAAAAATGAAACATCTATGTCTGTAAGATGAGGCTTGAGACCCATTTTGCCAGTAGCTTTTGGCCTAAAATCTAAGTGTAGCAAGCTGACTTGAGAAAAACAAAAATACAGGCTAGAGAAGTAAATTGCATTTCTCCTTGGGAGTTCATCCTAAAAAGAGGCATCACACTAACAAGTGTTTCAAAAAGGAGCTCTAAAATCGCTTTTTTGTTGATTAAGAGAGCAGTGGTCAAGGCAACAGGACATTCTGTCACGGTATCTAAGATGAAAAAAAAAGTAGAACAACAACAAAATCCAAAAAGGTGTAAAGGTGGACACGGATTTTTTCATGGCCTTTGGCACACAGCATTTGTGAGAAAGTGTCCTGAGTTTGCCTAACTAAGGAAAGATGACCGTGATTTTCAGTTGAACGACTGTAGGCAGCAGAACGGGATTTCTCTGCCATGGCCAGGCTCAACATGGACTAACTTGAGGCCATCTCCATCCAGGGAACATGGCCCTTTCGGTTGATCCAAGTTTCATTTCCCAGGTGACACCAGCCTGTTGGGTTTCCTTGGAATAGCCTCCTTCTTTTAAAGTACAGCTGCTGGAATGACCAAGAGAGCACATTGCCTTTTTCCTGAAGGATCAGAAGACACAACTTGATCTCCTGATCTACCTTAAGAATCGACAATAGGAAACCAATACTGAACCGGAGCTACCACTGAAATCTTAACATAACTTAGCTAAAAGAATGATTTGGCAGTAAAAATAAAAGAATGGCTGTGTAGCCAATTATCACAGAAACTTACTGGCTATCTTCCTTAATATCTTCCATATCTCATGAATTCACATATTACTTTCCCGATGCCCTTGTTTTTAACTCGGTCTTTCCTTACGTCTCTTTCCCTCAGAACACAAGCATAACAGAGCCTCTCACATTTCAAGAAAGCACTTCTCGTCCCATCTGCATGTCTAGAAAAATATTTATGAAAAGTATGACAATTGCGACACTCTGATCATTGTCTCTTGTTTCACTTCTCTAAATCTCCCTTTTACGACGACAGCATTTAGCTGAGGAGAAATAAACCAAATCACAAGCTCCTTCTAGCCAAAACATGGGGCCAGTCTTCTTTGACTTCCTCATCTCATGTGATAACATTAATCATAAACTTACTGAAGTTCAGTTGTTTGGTTTTTATGACCTTTTTCTGCATCTCTGGTTATCACACCACTGCTGATTTCTGTTGAGTGCCCCCATATCTGTCCTGAAGTCACATCAAGCACAAGTTTCGTGTGAAGTGTGATTAACTTGCTCACTTGGTCTTATTCTTGCAGATGATTTCCCCACCTTGACACTTGCAATTTTTATAATCCACATGCTTTATTTTTGCCTTGATTAGAGTTAACAGTAAATTCTTCAACGCAGTGACTTTCTTTTTATCATGTTATGAGTTGAAACATTTGTAATTGCTGCTTATAAGTGCACAGAGAGTCAGTGCACTAGCAACTTTTATCTAGAGGTAGAGTACAAAGTACAATGGGACTACATGTATCTTAATCCTAATGGGAATGATCCATGAAAGTTTAACTCATGAAATTAACAGTTAGAGGTCTTAGGCAATTATTACTCTAATTATCATTCTTCAGATTAAAAATGAAACACACTAAATGAATCACAAAATGTTACTGGCCTGTGCTGCTATTTTACTCTGACAGGAAAAAAAAGAAAGAAAAGAAAAGAAACCTTCAAGGAGAGAGCTGAGTGCAACCTCCAGGGGTTCACTCTCAGGAAAAGAAGGGAAGTGAGTACTGGTAGATGTCACAAGGAAAAATAAATGATATAGCTGCTCATTTCATCTGAAGTAACTGATCTAGCTGAACTAGCAAGTGCTTGGCCTGTAAGAACCCACATTTCCCACTGAAGTGACAAAACCCTCATTTCTCCAGGAAGGCTGCCCATTGTCTTTGGACAGTAAATATCTGCTATGACAACAGAGGTGGTTATGAAGGAGTAATGATCCTCTGCGTTTTGTCCTATGTGGCAGGTGTCTAAATCCATAAAAGATTGTAAGAAAAAGTTGGGTAGAATGTGCTTAGAAGCAGAGAAAACTCGTTAACTGGAGTTACTAGAAAATAACCATGTAATACTAAATCATCCTGTTAATAAGAACTCTTTTCTTGGGTAGGGCCATTGGGTTCACACCCTTAAGTTCCTCTCCTTGGAAGGCAAAAATGAGGGAAATAATATTCCCAATTTCAGGCACCTAAATTAAGCCAGCCTGTCACTCTCAAGTCTCTGTATTTCTTTCCATAGAGTATTTACAGTCTCCCTCAGTTTCCTCTGTACTTGAAATTCCAAACAATATTTCCGCATAGCATGAAGTCATTATACACAAAGAGCACAAATAACTGGAGACATCTGCTGCAGGAAGGGTTCACTCATCACCAAGCCGATCTTTCTGCAGTCATGATGATGTTCTCCAGCACACGTTTTTGAAGAAGACACAGAGACACTTCATGTAGACTTTTCAAAGCAAAAGTATTCTCTTGAAAGACCAGATCTTGTTTAGAACTAAAACCATGTTATTCAGAACAATATATATGTTATATACTTTGCTCATATTAAAAAGAAAATCAGATAAAAAATCATCACTTACTCTCCCAACTTTGCCCAGATAGCCAGGGCTACTCTCAGAATAATTTCAGAGCCTTCAAAGAACACAGAATCCCAGATCTTCAGGACCGTGTGGTTAGGCAGGCAAGTGGCAAAGAGAGTCAGGAACCACTGCATTGTGAAGACATTTGTAAGTGGGGGTTCATAGCCTCCTGAAAGGAAAAAAATGAAAGAAAAATCCTTAAAGTCGTTCTGATTCTACTGTTATTTTCCAAGGAGCATAAACTGATGTAGCTCTGGAGGCCTGAATCTACCAGTCATTCTAGTACTTCTGTTACTGCTCATGCCTTTTCAGGTTGCAGCTGTCCAGAGAGGAGCTGGGAACACGAGCAGTGGAGGAAGCGACGAACCCAGGCAGCTCTCACCTAGCTGCGCTGCAGACAGCCCTGAGCAGCAGCACTGGTATTGGAGAGGCCTAGTGCCTTAGAAAAACACTGGCACAAGGTTTTGTACCGGAGAGATTGCTTTTTCTTCCCCAAAGCCTTGAGAGCTAAAAGCTTTATTTAAAACAAACAAGCAAACATTTCTGCAGAAACTAACCTAATGGAGGGGAAAAAAAAGTCCCTAGCTGCAAGGAGGTGACTCTCCTTTAAAGTCTTATCTGTTGTATTAAAGTCCTAATATACTGTCTTTGCTAAGCTTCTGCCAACCTAGCAAAGTTGCTGCAACACATTCAGTTCCCTGCAATGTGACACAGTTGGCTAATAGCTTAAGACAAGATATGTTACTTCAGCCTGAAATTCTAAAATACTGCATTCTTGTTATGCTCAGAGTGATTTATGCATCTGAGTGCCAGCTGACAGATAGGAGACCACGACCCAAAGAGGCTGCCACCTGCAAAAACAGTTTCAAGCAGCAAATGCTTTCTTAAGGCACTTTGTCCTTAAACAGTTTGGGCACAATCAGGATGTTCTTTATTTACTACTGTGATATGGTAGTAGGAATACTATACCTGAAATGCACAGTGCAAAGTCAGCTCTCAGGTAGTAGGGAAGTGTTGTTTTGTATCTGTGTATTGCTAGGCATCCAGGTGAAGAAATAATAACCAGCCCACACTCACTCTAACCTTGTAACTCTTCCTAAAACAACCAACTAGCTGTCACACATCTTTCCAAGGTAGCTCCTGTACTAAGCTTTGTTACGGTGTCGTCGCCCCACATTTTATATCCTTGCCAACACAATTCTGTTTGCAGTCAAATCTTAGACCAAAGTTCTCCCTCTTTATTTTTCATAAGAGAGCTGCCAATTTGCTATGCTCATCAATAATGGAAACAGGTCATTTTTCTTTCACAATTTAAGAATATATATTCCAAGCTGCATGTTCATGTAAATACTTAGAAGAACAGTGTTTATTATATAATTTTTTTTGGACCAGTGTTCAAATGAAACAATAGTAAGAAGGAATTTAACAGCATTATCTGTCAAACCTACCTCCACTTTCTCTGTTAGCAGCTTTTTGCAGGGTATCTAAGTGCTGGGACAGTTCAGGAAGTTTCATTCTTAAAAGATCTCGGAAAACAGCCATATCCACAGAGAGAGCCCGGAGATTATTGACAAAATAGCTATCAGGAAGTACCTTATCAATTAGGTAAATCATGATCTGTAAGAAAATTAAACAGAAATGTAGGACTGTAAGTGCCTGTTATTTTCTAAGAATAACTACAACAAAATATATATACATACATATATATATATATATATATACACACAAATATTTATATATGGCATTTAAATCTTATGTTACTGAAGTATAGCTTTGACCCAGTGGTGACACATGACTGACACCTCCATTTACACGGATACAGGGCCTTGCAACATCATTTTAGTTATCCACAGCTAATCCAGGTATCCACAAGCAATCAAGGCACAAAAGTTAAGAGAGCTCAGTCTCTTCAGACTTTATAGACAATTAATGACTGAAATCAGCTTCACAGTGAACAATGCCCAAATTGTAATCACTACTCAAATCAAAGGCAACTTTTCAAACTTCTGTCACTATAGGTGTTTATGAAATGCTCCAGAGTTCCACTACACGTGTCTGGCTGTAAAATGTCCCAATTAGAAGACTTGTCATTGAAAAGATTATCTTTTTTTTTTTGGAAAATGTAAGATACCGTTCTTCAAAATAAAGAGCATTCTTAACACATTTTGGTAAATATGATGTGGTACTATGTATGCTGCCCTTCATCTTGTCACTTTGTAAGATGCTAAATTAAGCAACATGAGACAATTAAAGAAGAAATCTGTTTCAAGTGACACAGAAAGTCCAACTACATTGCTAACAGTTGATCAACTGGATACTAGGAAACTTTTAAGAATAAATAATTGAAACAAAAGTATGCAGAAAATGATATATATGACCAGCCCAATAAAATATTGTAAAATTACATTTTACAACCTCTTTGTCTACACTACAAATAGTGGCTGCATGTGGTCACCCTGCACACTGCTAGTCTCCAATATGCATTTGTTAAAATTTCAGAAAGGCTTCAGAAATCTCAAATACATGAGAAAATAGCAAAGAACAAAAAACTTTTTTGCCACACTGAATTCTGATCTACTTCACTGGCATCTGAAGAGTTCTGAGGAGGACTTGTATTTTTTAAAAGAATAGTTCCATCTATTTACCAGTTTGCAATACACATCTTTCACGGAATACATTTTTCATGACGTTCTCTACACTTTTCTTTTTATTAATTGATTTCGTATTTTTTTTTCCCACAACAATGTCTTTTATTTGTGTTTAGATAACTTCTATGCATGGAAGCTGTGGTTTTCCTACTTCTCATAACTTCACTAGGTTTGTGCTCATTGGTAAGCTGGGCGCATCCTCAGGCTGACCCTCACTAACAAAGACTCAGGCCTCCCTGCTTGGTCACTCACCCAACCTGCCGTGTTCCATTCTGGCATTTAGGGCCCAACCTAATCCCTAGGATTATGTCAGGGTGCTAACAGCCCTCAGGGATTTACCTCTTCAGAACTGGGCATGCTGGTGCTATCCTGTTGTCTCCACAAGGCAAGGCAATCCCAGCATATATGGATGCCCACAGCTTGGGCATCCATAATTAGGTTAGTGTTCATAAACCTTTACCAATTGGATTTCCAGTACCACCACAATATGTCTTAGGAGCTTCTGGAGAGTACACGGTTACGATAAAATGTAACACATCTAGAGTTGAAAACACTGACAAATTTTTTAACAAGAATCATTCAAAGAAAATTTCCTCTATGATAAAAAGTAGGAATATTGTAGTATGTTCTTCCTATTATAGATATCTTGTATGGAATGAAATATTAAATGACATCTAGCTAGACTCTATTTCCAAAAGCTTTATATTTTAAGACCTTTAAGTGAAATTAAGTATTTAGCATATTTAACATTATCTAAGGCAAAACAAGCAACTCATTCTCTAAAAAGCCACAATTATCTTTTATTAATTTGACCCCAACTCGCATGTATGAGCGAGTTTGTTTAAGGAAATTTGAACATGACTTTGGCATGTCCTGTATTAAGCTGGACTTTTTGTGAAGGAAGCTTTTAATTTGAATAGAAAATGCCTAAGAAATCAAAAATTGAAACGAATAAAGTAGCCCAGACAGTAGCTTCAAAACTATTCATTCTTATTTTAAATCACACTTTGTGTTCTCCTCGCAATTAATTTTAAAAGGCAGTAGATGTTTTAGCTTCCTCGCTGAAGCTGTCAATGGAAGTGGAAGGTTTCGGCTACCTCTGCAGTCTAGGGGAGCTATGGGGGTTCTTCTGAAGCTCCACTCATTACTGATAGAAATGTTAACAGTGATAACATTCAAACTGTCCACTTCAGCTCGGACAGGATAACAAATAATTCACAGATACGAACCTGCATATTCCTTTGAGTCCTCCTCCTTTAGGCAGTCTACAAATTGATGCATTGGTTTATTCTAAAATTCACCAACTAAAGAAATTCTCAATAATGCAACAACAACAAATTTACTCACTTTCAGGGCATCCCCTTCATTGCCCTCCATCACTTCCAGGATGAGGGCAGCTAGGATGTTAAAGCCTTGACAATAGCCAACAGATTTATTCCACCTGGCATAAGCCAGCAAAACTCTCTTTAACACCACTCGATCTTGCTCTGCCTCCTGGCCACAGTAGGAACTGCAGCCAGTTCGGTGAAGGTCCTTTAAAGCAGAGGGGAAAAAAAGAAAAAAAAATAAGACATTTCAAAGAGTTTAGAAGATTTGTGAGTGAAAGGCAAAACATGCACTATAGTTTTGATTATCTCATGAGTAGTATCTATAGTCTTAAATTACCAAGCACAGATGACAACTGTAATCAGGGACACAAAGCGCTTTGCTCTGTGCACTCTAGGTATGATGACTGCAGAACATGGGCAATCTCTCCTAGGGAAACAGGCTGAGATTGAAAGCACCACAACAAGAGAAAATTTTTAAGCTCTTGTCCAAAAGTGACTACTGGCTTAAGTAAGAAATGGCAATCAGCTCAGCTCAGAAAGATACAAAGGCAGAGATGTTTCACTATTGTGAAATAACAGAAAATATGCTCAATACCTATATTATAATACCTTTAACCTGAGCAAATATCTATATTTATTTATAAAATACAGAGAAGAGGAAGAATGCTTTGGAACCTGCCTGCTTAGTCGCCAGAAAATTCGTCAAAAATGTTCTAGTAATAGCTTTTTTTTCAGTAAAGGACAACCAGACAAAGGCAGAAGAAGGATCAAAAAAATGCAGAAGAAATAATTTTGGTGGACCAAGGGAAATTAAAGTATAATTTCTGCCAGTGCAGAAGCAAAGGAAAAAAAACAAAACAAAACTCTGTTTCTTAAAAAAACAAAAAAACGAAAAAAACAAAAACTTTTCATTAAAAGATTACTTGACTACCTTTACTATCTGGATGCCCATGGAGTCATCATCAGGATTACTTCTTTCATTGAAGGTGAAGCGCATGGTTTTATCCCAGTCAATGGCTATGCTGTGCAGGTACTGATCAGCCAGGGTCAGCCACACCTGGAAAGGTACGAAGCAAGCCCACAAAATGTGTCATTTCTCAATAGGAGCAGTTTATACATACAATGAGATGAACTTCAGCAGCTCTTCACCCATGTAGGATATGCTCTTAGACTTGAATTATGTAGAGAGGACTATATTCAAAACAATTTCTGAATAATCAAAGTTGTATCTTGCTCCCTAGGGGAGGGAAATGGTCAGCACTGAAGTGTGTCCATCCCGGAATGTCTTGCAAACATGAGAGCCCGTTGCCGGAAGCTGGATCCACACTGGCCCTTCTCAGATGGACGTCCATCCTCCTGCAAGGACCTCCTGGCCAGGCCTGCCCTCCTAACCCACGAGGACTATTGTGAAATGGTAACGCAGCTCCAGGCTTTGCTCAAACTCCGCCGTGGATCCATCTCTCCTGGAAACTCCGCAAGACAAACCCAGTAGCGCTGCTCTCTGCCAGAGGTCTCTTCTGATCAACATTACAGAAGAGGGGGCGTCCAGTATAAAATATTTGGAGTTAGCCCCAAAGAATTACTTGGATCACAGTAAGTTATTCATAAGAGGGCTTGCTAAACTGTTGGCACTACAGGTAGTTTTGAAAACAAACATTTTGACTACCCAATAATTACCAAAACAAATGTATACATGTATGCTCAAGTTAAAGACTGGATCTTCATTAAGCATTTGAGAAGTTCCTGAACACTAGACACAACAGATCATACAATGACAGAACAGTGGGGAAGGGCTTTTCTCTTCAGAAAATTGAAAGAAATCATGAGCACAAACGGTCGAAGTTTTATATTAGCCACTAACCCTCCCAAGTGAGAAAAGTCATTCAGACACTTCCCACAGACTATTCCCACTTAGATAGATGCTTGCTGAGGGAACGTATAGCCAGCTCACAGAATCACACATTCCCTGCATTTAAGCAACCCTTCCCAGGCTTTTGCAAAGGGAATGTGCGTGGGAATGTTGCCGGGGTCTGCCTCCAAACAGCCTTTGGCACCACTGTCACCCTAGTGATGTTGTTTGACTGGATTCTTCATTTCTGCCAGCCCCAGAATATAAATGTTATGAGCCACAGCTGCAATGCAGATGTCATCCTGCCCCTTCTGCTGCCAGCAAAGCAGACAATCACCCATGGTGCCAACACATCAAATACTTCATTCTGATGGTACTCTTAAAATGACTGGGAAACCAGGGAACAGTGTGAAAAGGCCTCAATTTTTTTTCTTAACACTGCTTCCCTGGTTTCTATTATGTGACCATGTGTGAGCAATGGGCAGGATGAGGAAGACGAGTGAGAAGAGAGACATCTGCCACTCAAACACTAGAAGAACAAAAATCAAAGGGCAGCTATGAGAGACTTACTGGAGTGTGGAAGAGAACTATAAAGGAGGAAAAGGGCTACTGCGTGGATATAATGATTCACTGGAGTCACAGATTAAAAATAAAAATGTTGTGAGGAAAATGATAACCCTATATTTCTCCCATTTCCTTCCTCCAATTTATAAATGGACTGAACAGTATAGGTTGGGAAGGTCCAAAGCACCAAAATCATCCAAAGCAATAAAAATATACTGTTCAAAATATATTTAATAAGTATATATAGAGAGAATATTTTTAGTAAAACTGCATTTTAAAACTGAGATCATGTTTCTCATAATTTTTACAAAAATCAAATTCTTCTTCTTTTAATACTGGGGAACATCTAGTATTGTTAGAGCAAGCGATGAAGTAGATTTTATGGTCTCCCGCTAGACCCTTTCCTATAACACCAGATCACTGTAATTTCACATTAATGGCACTTTCTACCACTCAACAGCACTGCTGAATTCCCCTATCTAAGCAATCTGCCTTTTCACATCAAATGTTTCTACAAAGCCTCTTGCCAGCATGAGCATTTATGAGTTTTGCCTTCATGACAGCCTCCACTGGAGAGATGCTCTCCTTTCAGCTGCTCTTCAGCTGAAAGGGGGATTGTGTTCACCTAAGCCCCGGGCAGAAACAACCTTACTGGTGTAAACTACACCTTTACATGTGTCCTCGGGCCCATCAGCTGCCCTATAAGGTGATTGAAGAACATTAACTATGAAGATCCCCTAGGACAAGTTAGAACTCCAAAATATGTGTTAAAAACACTGATAATATTTGTGGTGTTCATCTCTCTCTCTTGTGATGTGCACCTCAAAGCACACAACTACCTACCTTTCTCCGCCATTCTTTGGGTATGCCTGTTGGCAACCTGGCCACTGCCTTGAGGGCATCATGCCACTAAAAGCAAAAACATTCAAAAAAGGTAAAAAGATGCCATTAGTGCAACGTAACAACATGGTCGAATCTACACCCCCTGAGACATGGACATACATTTCATTTTTCTGACCACATTTCTGTGTTTAATTTCTTGATCTCTTTTCAGGAAAAAAAATAAATTAAGGATATAATAAAAAGTAATATTCTAGAATACAAAGATTTATGAGCTATCTTAGAAAACAAAACCTACTGCAGTTTCCAAATACTACTGGAACATCTCTTTATGCAATCAGAAATAATACACAGACATTATGAAGAGAGCAATGTACTCTTGAATAGAGCTAGTGTCTTTATTGAGAAGAATCCCATTTTCAAGTTCAGAGAGAAATGAAATAAATTACCTGCTGAAAACCATTTTGACCTAAAGATGGCTCAAGAGTGAATTTCAATTTTGTGTCAACGCCTAGAAACGAAAAGGGAGAATATAAGTGATCATGATTTTAGCCTAGTTCAAAAGAAAAAAAAATCAAATGAAACAACATTTCAACTATATTTGTTTGAATAACTACATTTCAGTCTGTTTCTGTCAAGTCTTATCTTCACAGGGAATTCAAGACGTATGGTAAAAATGTATATAAACAACGTCTTTAAAGTCCCATAATCCCCTCTTCACTCCAACACAGTAGTTCAGTGTGATTCCTTTAACTTAAAAACATGTGGTTCACTGAATTCTAAAGGCCATATCCGAACACTGCAAACTACCATATGCTCACAGAGAAAAAATATACACAGAGAAAAGGTTGCAAACTACCATAGAAAACTACCATAGAAAAAACTACCAGAGAAAAAATATACACAGAGAAAAGGAGTTTCTTTCCACTTGTTTCAACTCTGCGATGTTAAAACACTTCATTCTCATTTCTAAATTGGTCATGTTAAAAATATTCTATTGCACAGGACACTAAATGCATTAGAATCCTTCGAGCCACACTTGGTCAGTGTTTACCGTTAAGCATAGATTTTATTTTCACCATAAAATCAAATTATGTTAATTTGATATCACACGTTAGCAGAGGTGCCCTAAAATGCAGTATTTTATGAAATACCAGGCTCTCAAGTCTGGCCCACACAGGATCGGATCGCACCGCAGGACCCGCTGCGCTTTAATTAACCCTTTGGCCTTGTTGCCTGCCCCACAGTCCCAGCTCCGGGGGCTGCGGGCGCCGCTGTCCAGGGCGCCGGTGCTGAACCCCGGGGCCTGGCCCAGGGCCGAGGGGCCGGCTCTGTTTTTCCTCTGGAATTTAGTGGGATGAATTGCTGCATTTTCAAACTGTTATGCAGAGCTCCTCCTCTTCCTAGAACAGCAAGCCTAGCATTTTAGAGCGTGCGTTTTAACAGCCATATAAAAAGAACTTTAATCCTCCAAGGTGTTAAGTAAATTCAATCCATGCAAATCAACTCGCACCAGGAATGCTCGGTGCTTTGGGAGGCTAAGCCTCTGAGTGTGGTAAAAAGCAAAACTGTAGTGGCATTTGCTAGTGCTCAGTGTTAAACATCTGTCAGCATTTGCATACTGAGTTGGTGATAAGTAAATTAAAACCTCGCTGCCAAATTAACAGGAGGACAAAGCCTCATCCTTCAGGTCTGGGGGATGGGATGTGGGGAAATGAAAGAAAAAACAAACAAAAAAAAAACAGTATTATTTAGAGCATTTTAGAATTGCATCAGTGAAAATTAACAGTTATTCCTCTAAGAAACAGTTTACTAGTATTCCACCACAGGGCTCCAAGGCACTCAGCACGGATTCCTAATAGATAAAGGTCTTAATAACATTTTGAAACAATGTAATAATGCCAGTAATGTATCAAGACACAAGCTTATCGCATTTGCTGTAAATGTGAAAAAGTAAGTCTCATTCCCAAGCAGTCTAGTGGGAAATAGTGGCCACCCAAATACCTACACAAAGATACCATGCCCAAATCTCCTTTTGTTAAGGCAGCCTATCCAACACTGCCCAGCAGTGAAGAAGCCAAAACCTTCCAAAACCATCCTGTGCTCATTTCCAACACAACAGCCAGATATTGAGCATTTCACAGTTTTCCAAGAGTTAAAGACCCCTGAAATATCTCCTCACTTTGTCTTATCAAGTGCATAAGAAAGCTGCAAATAGGGAGGGAGAGGTGTATAAAAGAGCAAGCATGGTCAAAGCACGAGCATACCTCAAAGTAAAATGGAATTATCTGTCATTTATACAAACATTATGACCAGGAACCTCACACAGGGCAGCAAGATGGAGACTCTTGGATATCAGGCCATAAAAGCTTATAAATCACAGCAGAGAATGAAACAGTTGGGAAAAATACTAGAAATAAGAACTACATCCTACGGTAACACTAGGCTACATGGTTGGGTATCTCTCTACGGTGACATAGGGAGAAACAATAATGTCTTGTAGAAGCCATGGAGCTTATACAGAAGCCACAGAGCTTATGTCCCCTTACTTGTTCCCACTCCCAGTTATATGTCCAGAAATAACTCCAGAATTGCACGATATGATGTTTTTGGTCAGCTTGTGGGACAGGCGAGAGAGAAGAGCAACATGTAGTGAATGAGGAATTCGCTCCCAATGTACAGGGACGGTGCCTTATTCCTGTTCATATAATGCTCTAAAGTATTCAGATTTCTTAAAAACAGAACATTAGGACATGGTTCAACAAAAACACTGTGTATAAAGATAAAATGAAGCTGCAAGAGAAACAGTAGAGGCTTCTCTCCCTTAACACTTCCACCATGTGCTACACCTTGCCAGTGACTCCCTTTAGTCCTCCTTCAGCTGCCTTCTCCCCACAACTAACCTGGACTCCCCCGACTCTCCAACTCTTCCTTCCCACTCACTATCCCACACCCTGCCGTAGATCTACACGGGATTTGCCCCTTTTTCTGCATTCTCTGTCTCTGGGCCACCTTTCTCTCCATTACGTAAGCACAGACTCGTGACCCTGTGGGACCTTGTGGGAACGTTTGTTTCCAGCTCCTGTGCACAGAGGGCTTGGCAGGACCGTACCACCCATGCAGCGATAGCTCCTTCTCCCACGGAGTGCGAGCGCTGCCAGGGAAAATCAGGACGTTTACATCAAGCCATCCAGGCTATAGGGGCATTTGACATATGAAATACCAGCTCCAGGTCACATGCTTTCAATACATGCTTCATGCCTAAAGAAATTATTAACCCATACAGGTATGAATTTGTTGGGAGCACACAGATTAACTTGCTTTACAGATACAAACATACATGTGGGTGTCGATGGCTGTCACCAGTCGAATTCCTGAATGCCAAAGCAGAGCCTCTCCTATGCCCTTGCAACGAGGTCACCAAAATAATTGCAGAAAAGCTATTTGAAGTAAAAACTGGCCCATTGGCCTTCCCACATAACATACACTAAACCGCTAACAATAAAAGGCTAAAAGAGGGAAGAGCATCCACGTGGGATTCCCAAGCACGAGCAGTCTTCCGTTGCATGGTCAAAATGTAGCACAGGACAAAAAGAGCCCCAAGGGCAGAGAAAAACCTTGGGGCCAGCCAAGTATCTGGGCGAGGAACCAAACCCGCACTGCACAGCTCCGCTTGCGCAGAGGGATGCAGCCAAAGCCTGAGAACTTCTCCGAAGTACTAAACCAGAAAGAGCGTAGGAAGGTGACCTGTTCTGGCACATGCACATGAGCTACAGCAGCGCAGCTCCAAACGTGCAGAACACATCACTGTAGCTTCCTGGCTGTTCTTAGAAGCGCCCGTTAAACCTCTCCCATGGAAAGTCAATGAATATTGTATGGAAAAGAAACAAAGAAAAATGCCTAAGGGGGCTTCCTGCTACGGTAGGAGTCAGAATTTGGAAAAGACAAAAACGGCAACACCTTATTGTTGCTTCTCGTTTCAGAAAGATTCATAATCTTACCACCTGTAATTTATCTCTAAAAATATGTATTCATCGCTAAAATAAGGATAAAAGTAACATCCTGAGTAATCCTACGTGAACTATCCTTCTGTGAACAGCCACAGCTCACTGGCGAATATCAAAGCACATCCAAAATCTGCATCTCCAGAAACTTCTCAATATGAACAGGCAGTGGATACAGACCACCAAGGAAATTTGAAGGGAACTTAGTTAAGTTATTTCAAAAAGCCTCATTAAAGCCTCATCTCCATCACTACATAAAAACATGTATCCTGAATGATGCTACTGCATTTACTTGTCAGGTTAGGAACATGGAAATCCCAAAGCAAGGGGACTTCCCAGCCACAGGACTATGACATTCAAGGTTACACCTGCCATCACCTCTTCCAGTCTTCCTGGGAGTATGCGAATGTCAATGCCCAGATAATGATATTATCTGGAGTATTAGAAAACTGAAGGGAGCAGGGACCAGGGAGGATTATGAGTCAGGAAGCCCCTTCAATAGCCACAACCCACAGAACCTATAGCAGAAGGTACTTGAGACCTTATTAAAAATAAGCTCTCTGTCGATGTCAGAGACTATCCAGAACTCATCTGCAGCAGAGCAGCAGTCAGCGCTGGGCGATTCCTAAGGCTGACTCGTATACCAGTGCCCGACACACACGCAGCAACTACAAAGGGAAACTGCAGCTTACGGATTTCTGTGCATTGCTCTCGGTTTTGATATGCGTGCACAGAGCACCGGCTTACATGCTTTATACGTGAGGATTAGGCAGAAGACCAACATCATCCCAGCCACAAGTGACAGCTCAGACATTATAAATTAAATTTAGATTTCCAACGCTTGGTACAAATGGAATGACCCGACGCTTTGATGGTGAGCAACCGCGATCCAGCCCACTCTCCCTCCAGCTAAGACACCAGCTGACTGACCACCCGCCTCCTAAGAGATTTCAGCCCTAAGGAGGACCTGGAATGAATGAATGAAATAATAAGTAAATAAATAAATAAATAGATAAGTGGGGAAAGCGCCAGCCGATGCCCTTCTCCTTAGGGGAGCAGAGACAAAGGGGGGTGA